TTCTCTATTTTACCTCATGAATATTTTCCCTTAATATTTCTTTATTAATTTAAATATGCTGTTAACAACAATTGCATAAATGGTAGCATTAAAGAGCTCTTTAAAAATAATAAAGCATGGAATTTGGTGAAAACATGGCTAATTGTGTGTCTCTAGGGTTTTACCACCATCCACATTATAGTGCAACCAGATGATGATAAAATGACAAAACCATAGAGTCAGAATTGGGCACAAACTCCAACCGTTTTGGATCACCTGTAACTCATAGGTAAATTTTCTATGTAAATCTGCAACTTGAAAACATTAAAAAGCCGTAAACTAGCCATATGATTGAGAATCCAAGTTGTTTAAGCAAGAATAAATCTTAAAATTCTGGTGACTTTTTTCTGAGATTATAAAGAAAGAGGAAAAGAGAGAAAGCGAAGCCTCAGGAATGAGACTGGACACAAAGGAGAGCCCGTTCCTATCAGCAGTCGCAATCACACTGCTCAGTGCTAAGTTTATGTGGGACCAAAACTTGGCACTGATGGGGGCCAAAAGAGTATTTGTGCAGGAGGGATATGAAAGTGAATAACTATAAGAAATTGAATTGCGGCCGGGCGCGGTGGCTCAAGCCTGTAATCCCAGCACTTTGGGAGGCCGAGGCGGGTGGATCACGAGGTCAAGAGATCGAGACCATCCTGATCAACATGGTGAAACCCCGTCTCTACTAAAAATACAAAAAACAGCTGGGCATGGTGGTGCGTGCCTGTAATCCCAGCTACTTAGGAGGCTGAGGCAGGAGAATTGCCTGAGCCCAGGAGGCGGAGGTTGCGGTGAGCCGAGATCGCGCCATTGCACTCCAGCCTGGGCAACGAGAGCGAAACTCCGTCTCAAAAAAAAAAAAAAAAAATTGAATTGCTGAAAGTGTGTTCTAAACCCTTGAAAAACTGGTTGAGCCATATTGACATTGAGTATGGACACCTTAAATACCTAGACTGATACAAAAAGAGATAGACTGTGCCTCTCTCAATAGCAACAACTGCAAGACTATCATTTTTATGCCCAGACTCTTAACAAATCACCTTGTTTACCTTAAAAATTACCCTGCAAATGGGTATTAATTACTCTTCTCATCTTACAAACAAGGAAACTGAGTCTCAGCCTCCGTGATGGCTCCAGGATTGCTCAGAAAATGTCCACTTGTTAGAGACAGTCCCAGGGCAAAGGGAAGATGGAGGACCTGCAGGGCTTTGCATTTGCTTAGCAGTCACCCTCATTTCACCCAACTCGATTGTTTATTTGACATGGCTTGACACTGACATGCTCTTCACCTGAGCACTCGAGAAAAGTTTCTGAAGCCCCCTGAGCAGTACAGGAAGGGGTAGAGCCACAATGATTTGAATTCACCTGCCTGACAGAAAGCCCAAGTTTATATAGATTGTCTGCAAAAATTTCTAACTTTGATTTACTATTCTTATCTTCCAAGACAAATGTATATGCCTGGACATTCACCAAGGAATAGGCTAATTCTCTCAAACGGCCAATTGTTTAAAATTTGACTACCAGAGCTCACAAGACAGTCGACACAGAAAAATGTTGAGCAGCTGCCTGTGTAAGTTAGAGATCTGCCTCCTAAAATCTTGCAGATTAAAAGTCAGAAGAGGGAGGGATAAAAAGCAGTCTCCTTACAGAGTGGTACAGGGAATATTAGACTCCACAGAGTAGGAAGGACAAATCGGACACAATTTTGTGAAGATCAAATGAGATAATGCATGTAAAAGCACTTTGTAAATGAAAAAGCCCTGTGAAATGTGAGCTGGTGTTATTAGTAATATTATCACGCAGGATTTCTTGCCTCCTTCTTAATAAAATAATGGTCTTCTTCAAGGTCCCTAGAAGCCAAACCAAGGAAGTGTGTTTCCAGAGAAATGAAATGTAAAGGTAATTGTGGATGTTCAATAAATATTAAACAGCCTCGCTATTTGTGGGAAGCTTCAAGTACATGATTAAGTTGCAGGTGATAGTAAAGGAAACCAGCATGATCTTTAATTATAAAATACTTGTTAGGTTTGATTCCAGTAAAATGCAATTACCTTGAGACTTCTAGTAATATCTCACAAGAGGTTATGTTCTCAAGATGAAAGCTTTTGTGGATGCATGTAAGACTCCATTGTTTGGGACCATGTACACCCGTCCTGGCTCCTGTCTGTAACAGCTAATCACCATTAACTTGGCGAGCCTTGCAGGAATTCCCAGTTGTATGCCAGCCATTCTGTGGCCTGCCTTGAAGTATGGAAACATCACAGAAGTGGGGATAAGGGCAACAGTGGCAGACCATAGCATTAGCTAGGCTTAGGGAGAAAGAGACTTGAAGGGAATTCAAGATCTCATGGGGACAAAAGAGGGCTCAGTAGGAGGGAGAAAATGGAATTGTCCTTGTACATGTCACCATGATTATAATGCGAACAATTTTTTTAAGACTAGCAGGAAAACCTCTGGATTTCATTTTGGAAAACTATCCAACGATCTGTATAGAAATTTTTAATCAGTGTATATTTTTTGAACCTACCCGGGAAAGCAATTGGTGGGCTTAGAAAATGTTATTTTGAAAGGCTTTTTTAGTTTCCTGCTGGTAGGGTTCCAAAAGCCTTTTTTAAAGAACATTCTTATACAATAATAATAGCTAGCACTTAACTAGTGGGTACTACATGCCATGTACTGGCAAGTGCTTTATATATTAACTCCGTCAATATTCATAATGAACCCATGGGGAAACTGTGGCAGTAACGCTCATTCATTTGTCTACAGTCACACAGCCTATAAGGGGAGGATCCGGATTTCCCATCCAGGCAGTCTGGATGCAGACATAATGTTCTTCCTAGCAACACTGCCTGCGAGGCCCGTGCTTTAGAGGTTTCAAGTGTATGTAGGTTGCAAGAAAGACTGCATGTGTGTGTCTGTGTATTCTGCTTAAGTGAGATGCTTAAGATGAAAATGTCTACTCATTAAAAACTATGTTGCTGATCTTCTTACACACTGAAGCAATTTTCTCTCTATGTTCATCAGTTTCTTCCTGTGCAATCAGTTCTATGAATTGGATTTAGTTTCCTCACTAGTGTCAAAATGGTTCTGTAAGAGTCCTATCCTCCTTTTAAGAATAAACTTGATGTCTTTCCTTTGTCTTCCGAATTATTACTACCTTAAATTATAGTCAAGCGTTTTAAAGCAGGGTTACCATCAGTCTAGTTTTAGGAATTGACTTAGTTTCCTTTGCTTTTCCTCACCGTAAATTTGCTCTAAGGACCACTATCAGGCATCACAGTGCATGACTCTTCATACGGAAAATACTAGTCAGTAGGCAAAGTAGTGTGTATATTTCTATTTTAAATAAACTGTGAACTATGGACATTCAATTGCAAGGTGGATGATAGATGGCCTCCAAAACCAAGAGCAAAACACTTTCTGAGAGAAAGTTAGCAGAGGGTGACACCCGTTATGGATACAAAGTGAAATGGAGCAGAGACACCAAAATCAAATAAGTAAGTTTGCCCCAGCTTTTTTATTTCGCAGTTATTTAGCCTCTCTGATCCTCGGATTCCCACCTTATAAAATGTAGGCAAAAACACTGGCTCTGAAGGTTTGTTATGAGACCTAAATTATGACCTGTATAAAATGCCTGACACCCTGACAGATTAGTTATGATGTGAAGCAGTAATTGCTTTTGTTCAATTTGATTTTTTAACTAAAAGGAACTTTGTGACACTCCTTGAGACCGGCTCCACAGCTCTCCAGCCCCAACTCAAAGAATCTTAAGTAGCAAAACTGAAAGAAATCCCAAAATATTATTTAGCCTAATTGAATAAAATATTAATCCCTACCCACACTCCCATTATACAGATCAGGAAACTGAGGACCTGAGAAGGTAAGTGGCTTCCTCAAGATCACACACTAGCAACTGAGAAAGATAAAACTGGGACTAAACACTCTGCCTCTTTATGGGGCATTTTCCACTATGCTTGCTGTTTTTCTTTGTACTAAAAGTCTTAGGACAGTAGGGGTCATCCAAGAGCAATCCTGTCTAAGTTTTTAGTGTTTCCAAGATCATAGGATAAAACTGGAGTCTAGGAAGGGGACAAGATACGGATTACATTAGGTCATTCATGGCTCATGTGAGAAAGAAAGCAGTAAATGTTTACAGAGAGCATTATGCAGATCCAAACTGAACATATTCCTAGAGATGGTCCTACTGCCACATTATTTGGTTAAGTATGTTTAGGTTTAAGGAATGAAGAACTTCGGGAAGTCAAAAATGATCAGGTAAAAACACCAATGACACTCAGTTTACCCATGTAACAAACCTGCACATGTACTTTCTGAACCTAAAAGACAGAATTTTTTTTTTTTTTTTTTTTTTTTTTTTGGCAGAGTCTTGTTTCATGGCCAGGCACCAGGCTGGAGTGCAGTGGCACGATCTTGGCTCACTGCAACTTCCACCTCCCGAGTTCAAGCAATTCTCCAGCCTCAGCCTCCTGAGTAGCTGGGACTACAGGCACGCACCACCATGCCCAGCTAATTTTTGTATTTTTAGTAGAGACAGGGTTTCACCATGTTGGCCAGGATGGTCTCAATCTCTTGACCTCATGATCCACCTGCCTCAGCCTCCCAAAGTGCTGGGATTACAGGTGTGAGCCACCGCGCCCGGCCACAAAAACCTTTTAATAAAATAAAATTTAAAAGACAACCAAGTAATACAGATGTCTTATCAAATGAATTCTTTAAATTTTGACATAAAATGCTGTGAAAGATATTTTATTTTGAATTTTAAAAGTTTATTTGGAGTAGAAGATTCTTTAAGGAAATCTTATTAATTTTACCATATACCACAAATGTAGTTAAAATGGCACAAACCTTTAGTCTTCAGCACTGTTTCTATAAGAAGTATATTCTGGTTAAATCGCTACTGGGGTTCTATCTTTCCGCCCAAAGCCACCCAAGTCATTTGCACGAGTTTTCATTACCAGTCAGGTATTCTGCTGGTTGATGTGCTTCAGCATGTCCTTATCCCTTGTCCTCTGCCTGTCCTGCTGCACTCCGGCTCGCCAGTCAGCAATTATCTGCATGTGAAAAGAGAGTACTCACTGACCTTGGCTTTATATATCTGAGTAGAAGAATGCCTCTTTCCAACAAACCAGTGTTTATACTGTATTAATCCTATATATGAAGATTTTTAGTTGATCATTAAGTTATATTTTTGAGATTTTCTAATGTTTATTTCATTGTTTGCTCATCTAAACTAATAAGCAACAATTTACATTTAGTAAATAATATTTAGTCTGTAAGAAACATTCCATTTCATAGAACTTTCAGCAAGACAAGCAAATGAACACAGAACTTTAAACTAAATATCAAACGCTGGACAGTAGCAACACTACTGTTTTATTATTTATTTTATTAAACACATAATAATTTATACATTGCAAAGTGTACTTTCACATTTTTATATTTCTCTCTCTCTTTTTTTTTTTTTTTTTTGTTTGTCTGTTTTAAGTTGCTGGTAGCATCTTTGAGTATTTTAAACAGGCTGAACTCCCAAAGGCTTTCCTCCCAGACAACAGGATTAAATGAATTCTGAGGGTTGGGTCACTTTTTTTTTCTTCCTGGTTTTGTTAAAAACTACAGTGTTGCAACACACAAGAGTTGGGTTGACACAAGCTTAAAATATTGATAGTTGACAAGCTTCTGGATAACAAGCTTTATTTGCCTAAGAATGTAAATTGCAAACCTGAACTGGAGAATCATTTTCATTGACTTTTCCTATCATATCACACTCACCACAATGGAAGGAAGTAACATATAAAGCCCCAGCTATACAAAAGGGAAAATACCAGATTTTTATTTCAATTTGTTTCAGTCAGCCTTGGCTCTCATCTGTCAGTGGACAGAGTTTCTTTTTGAGAAGGCTTATCTGACCACAGAACATTGGGAGGGCAGGGGTGGCATTTCAGAGCAGCCTTAAAGAGCTTTTACAGTAGTGCCTTTTTTATCCAGTTTTGTTTTCAGCAGTTTCAATTATACGTAGTCAACTATGGTCTGAAAATATTAAGATATTTTGAGAAAGAGAGAAACCACATTTATATAACTTTTTACAGTATGTTATAATCATTCTATTTTGTTATTGTTGTTAATCTCTTATTGTGCCTAATTTATAAATTATCATAGGTATGCATGCGTAGGAAAAAAACACAGTATTTTGAGGATTTGGTACTATCTGTGGTTTCAGGCATCCACTGGGGTTTTAGTTATCCCCTTTGAATAAGTGGTGATGACCATATTTAGCAGGAGTAAAATTTGAAATGGCACAGACACAATATACCTCAACAAAAGTGTGACTGGAGGGATGAGGAAGTCATTAGCCAGTGTCAAATAAACTTCCCTGTGACACAAAGAATCTCAAAATATGTATGAAATACAGTCGAATGTTTTTCTATATTAATTATTGTGAAATTATTCTAATATTGTTCCTTGATTGGGATCTGGAATCATCTTTCCATGAGATATTGCCTAGCAAACAGTGTAAGACCAAGAGCAAAGTCTGGTTGATAGGCTAATTGATGGTAGCTAAAGGGAAGATTGGAGAGAAACTATCACTTCTCGTTTGTGCCCCCAAAATAATTCTATAATGATTTTTTAGGAATATACTATTTTTCCTAAAAGGAATTAAGGCCATCAAAATATGTTCATCAGGGACAGTAGATCAGTTAGTTGCATTTTCCTTAAGCTGCTGATCCCAACCAATTCACAGAAATCAGCCCAAACAACTGACCAGAAAACTCTGCTAGCCAATGTTTTATAATGATATCTGTCTTTCCTTGGGGAGGCCACTGAAATAAACTATGCCTTAGTTACTTTGACTGTATAATGGGAATGTTTATAACACCAAAAGTCGTAAGAGGAAAGTCCTCAAATAAATAACAGGAAGTTATAGCTCTTTCAGCATCAAATACTTCATTGAATCTCCAGACATGAATGAAGCTTTCCCCAATCCAGCTGTGGGGAGGAGCCAAAAGTTCAGATGGGGTTTCAGCCTAATTTCTTCCCTTTACATTAAGGCTTATTCCTGAGTAGTTCTTGAACTTGGTAGCACAGAATTACAGACAAATTACATAATTTCTGTGTCCCTAAGTTGAAATAAGAATGCATTTACTAGCTTCCTTCTTCCCTTATGAAAATTCACCAGCCCCTTTTCTTAAGGGGCTTTAAACCCTTAAAACCTTTAAACCTTATTAAAGGTCCTAAGCTCCAGAGAAAAGGCTCCATGCAATCTCAGAGACTAAACAATGCACCCATGACATATAAAACAGATAGTGGTAAAAGGTTAAGAGCATGAAATAGGATCCAAAAACTCGACTCTTTCTTGAGCTGTAAACAAACATTCTCCATGTGCTCTACTGCTACATCAGCTGATTAATAAACTAAGATGACTAGTTTCAGGGGGAAAATGTGGGAGAGATCATTTACTAAGAAAACCAGGTTTGTTTTGTTTTTCATTTCTTATCCCAAGAACTTAAGACCAAAGGAAGGCTTCTATTAACAAGTGAGGTTTGCCAGAAATGAATTGATTATCTTCACAACCTCACCACAGTTTTGGAAAGTGTCTCCACCTGCTTGAACAGAGAAAGTTTGCAGACCTCAAACCAAAATGCAAAGGAGCAAGAGACATTAACATAAAATGTGAGCCTCAGTCTTCCTCTTTAAATCTTCTACTCTTCCTACAAAAGTCTAGAGATCTACATCAATCTATTCAGAGGTTCTGATTTGTATAAACCTGCAATGAAATTCTCTCTTAATGAACTGATTCCCCACCCCCCGCCACCCCCTGAGAACCAAACATCATTTGATATTGAATTCATGAGTGCAAGTAGGCATGAGAACACAGGGCATTCCTCTGATGGATTATTACATTTTATATTTTATGCCACAATTTCTCTAGAGCTTCAGAAACTCAAAGGTGCCTGTATGTACTTTATACATGTGTACATTATTATTTTACATTCTAAAAAACAGCATTGTTATTTTAGCTCTAAAAGTCTATACTTATGAAGTGAAATGAAGAGTTTTCATCTGTATCAATCAGTTCAAAGAAAACTCAGATTCCTTGGGTTTGTGGCAACAGTATAAATACTCGATCATCTATTCAATGCCTATTTATATCTCTTCTTGAAGTTAGCAGCATGTATGAAATAGCGCATTCTGTCAGAAGAAATAACACCCAAAAAGCATTGTACTTTAAGTGGAGTGGGAAAATTATAAGACTATACAAGTTTATAACCATACTTAGTTGTTTAGGCCATGATATTAATAAGACCAAGATTTAGGGTTGAAATTATGAGCCAGTTAACCATTCTATGGGTAATTGACTTCCTACCATTCTCAAATATGAATGTCTAGCTGGATTTTCCTACATGTACAATAAAGAACTAGTCAAGAGGGCAAATGGGCCAGTGGAAGATTTCCCCCATATTAGAAAAATGGCTCAGAGCCCATGTCCTATGAATGGCAGATAAAAAATGTCATTGTTACTCAAAAATGTGAGAAAATTATGACATTGAAGAGAACCTTATAGAGGTTACAAACTGGTGGACTGCATGCCAAATACCCTTCACTGTGTTGTTTTGTTTGGCCCTTACATTATCCTTAAAACATTAGGATTAATTACCAACATTACAAGATTGGAAGATGTCACCAAAAAAAAGTCTGGGTGGCCCTCTGAGTCTGCATTCTTGCTTAGCAACGATCAGCTGGATCTGAGCAGCCACTGCTCCTCTAGACAGAGCAGGTACTTACTAGTTCACCTCAGCCCCCACACCCTGTCGTCTTATGCTCATCTCCCATCAACCATGTCTATTACCTGCCCAAACCTCAGAAGGCACTTTAGCTTGCAACTTCCTAAAGATCCTATATGCATGTGATAAACAGTCGTGGGATCTGAGTGGTGTATCTTGCAAAAAAGAAAAAAGATTCACTTTTTGGTTGGTGTCAAAATTTGCTTTGTAAGAGGGATAGCAAAGTGAGAGCTGCTAAATGTTCAAAAGATGACCAAAGAGCTTGGACCTGCTCAGGTGTCTATATGGGATATGGGATCATATGTCTTACAGGTCCTACTCATGAATAAGGCGGCAATGTGGCACATGGACTGGGCCTCCATGTACACAAATGGAAATGTGGGGAATGGCATATGTTGTTCCCTCTACCCACCCTCCTTTCCCAAAACTCAGCAAGGCATATTGCTTCAAGGACTGACACAAACCTACTTTTTAATCTAGGGTTCATGTAAGTGGTTTTGTTGTTGTTGTTGTTGTTGTTGTTGTTGTTGTTTTTACCAACTTACTATTGCCTCAGTAGGTGGTTATAAAGCAGCTCATAGACTAAACAGGAACTACCACATACCCATGCAGACAATTCCCAAAGCTGCACATGCCCCAAGCACCTTTCCCAAACACCCAGACAGTTCCTACAGAAACACTGGATCCATTTTCTGTACACAGTCATGGTAATTCTGCAAAACAGATACTGCTTTACCCCTCTTTTCAGGATTGTTTATATTTCTGCACATTTACGATATCCTTAATTTGGGTTACTAATTCTACAGGTCATTATTTGTTTGCCAAATGATTGTTTTGTCCAGGGAGCATTTTCAAACAAGCAGATTTCCAAAAGTTACTCACAGGTTGATGTTCTGTCTGTTGTACGAGATGAACAGTTCAGACCACAAAGCAGCTCTATCCATCCTTAAAACTCAGGCTGGAGTGAGGGTGTTGGCATATGGCTGAAGTATAGCATCGAAGGAGTAAATATTATTTAGCACTAACCCTCTCAACTTTTTTGAGATTCTCAAAGCTGAATCAAAATATGCTCAGTGTTAGTTCTGGTGGGCTGTCTACTAGTTAAAGATGTCTCTTCCCTCTATAAGGCAGAATTCTGCATTTGCCAGCCAGAAAATAAGCTCACTAGGAGACAGACTGAGCACTTTGATGGTGTTGCTCAAGCTTATGCAAATGTTGTCTTTGTGTAGAACGGGTACAAAAATGCAACTTTTTCTGTGAGATAACATTTCAGAGGACTTAGCTTGTGCTGTCTTTCTGTGTGCCAGTCTTGACAGCCATAAACACTTTTTCTAACCTTGAGACTTTGGCTGGAGAAGCTGAGAATTAAAAAATATTAATATCATGAAATAGGCTATTACTGGTAGGCTCAGTGCAGCAAATCATACAGAATTGTATTGCTGTTCCCTGTGCAGTCTTACCAATTTTGTGGGTTTTGTTGTAGTTTTTTAAAATACTGCTGTGTCATTTCTGCAGCATGTATAGATCGTATGATGGAGTGGTAGAGAGTTCCTTGGGAGCCAGTCTGTCTGGAGTTGTACTGTTTGCATATTATTGGGCAAATTATGTATCCTCTCTCTGCCTCTCAGTTTTCTTATGCAAAATGGGTATTATGATAATATAATTACTTATAGGGTTGTTGTGAAGATTAAATGAGATAATACATAAAACAAGACTTACTAAAATGTTCAGTTTATAGTCAGTACTCATTTAAATGTTAGTTTCTTATTATTTCTGCAAGAAGTATGGTATGCTTGGTTCTAAAGAGCAGTCTGGGACTTTCACCATGCCATTCATTGTATCAGAAAGGTTATCTGTTGGTTCTCAGAGCCCAGAGTCTACTGTTCTTCATGTCAGCTCAGTACCACAGAAGACAGAAAGCCATTAAGAACATAACCAACAAGACTTGTTTATTCTATTTAAAGTCATTGTTTGTTGGTAATGGAGATACAAGGTTGGTAATGGAGACGCTGGCTACTGTCATAGACCCTTGGACTCATGGTGCTACAGGGAAAAGGGAGGCAGAAGCCACAGAATGAGTCTGGGAGCTGTCTTCAGAGTGGATAGCCAATTACGCTAACAAAAGCTTCTGGCACTAGGACTGGCTATCAATGGATGGAAAGTTGGGTTGTTGAATACAAAACAACCATACAAAAACAAATGCTTTGGAATGTGCTGAAAGTAATGATACACCCAGGGCTATGGAGGACTGGGTCCCCAACCTGCTTTCAGTCTCAGCCCTAATGCAGTGGTCCAGACAGAAATCCTTGGGATAATGGCAGAGCCACCCAAAATATACCCGCACTAAGTATTGCCTGAAGACTAAATAACTATTATCTCAAATAGATAAATATAGCCATTTTTCAAATGTAGATGTTTTACTGAGTGCATTGGTAGCATTTTATAATGTGAATCCTCCCCATCAATGGCTTCTAAAACTACGACTTAGGATGGGTCTGAAAACTTACCTACTCCAAAGCAGCCTTTTTTATTCCAAATTTTGGAAATCACTCTCCCTAGTCTAATTTCAAAATACATCAAGGATTGAAAGAGTAAACTATGCAAATACAAAAGCAAATGGAGTTCTCCAAAGATTGAATAAGATACTCTATATGAAACTCCACACTTTTATTTTCTTTTAATGTAACTAGGTGTCTACTATCAGATTTTTTCAACCAGGTCGTAAATTATTCTGAAGTTGTCAGACTGAAAATGCAGTGCCTTTTGGTAATCTTGGTGAAGTCCTCCGCACTTTCTGAATTCTGTGTTAGAAGGAATGAAGCTGATAGTTATATCTACCTACCTTTTGCCTTGTCCTGACCATTAGATTGTGAAGAACAGCCTCATTGGTACTCTACCGTCAACTAGTCCCTTTCTTCTCCCCTATAAAAAGATATTCACATGGTTTGTACATATTACCACTCAATTCTAACCCTATATAAGCTCATGAACATTTAGATATTCTAAAAAAAATCTACACAGCACTCTTTTTACAGGGGATATTTAAACAGCATAAGATAGTTATTAATTTACCAAAGTGTTAATGACCCACAGATGTTAATGGCATATAAAATCTAGACTAACAGATATACTGTACAGAAGCATATTTTGAGCCAGGTGTGGTGGCTCATGCCTGTAAACTCAACACTTTTAGAGGCCAAAGCAGGTGAATCGCTTGAGTCCAGGAGTTTGAGACCAGCCTAGGCAACATGGCAAAACCCTGTATCTACAAAAAATACAAAACTTAGCCAGGCACGTTGGTTCATGCCTGTAGTCCCAACAACTTGGGGGGCTGAGGCAGGAGAATCATTTGAACCTGGGACGTGGAAATTGCAGTAAGCCAAGATTGCACCACTATACTCCAGCCTAGGTGACAGAGTTGAGACCCTATCTGAAAAGAAAAAAAAGAGAGAGAGAGAGAGAGAGAAGTGTGTTTTATTTATTTGTATTTGTTCTGTCATTTTGAAAACAATAAAATTATATGCAAATGAGTATATATGTAATGTCTCTGTGTGTGTGTGTGTGTGTGTGTGTGTGTGTGTGTGTGTGTGTGTGGCTATTTTCAGAATACTTTATTTTGGGAATCATTGTTCCTACTTCTTATGCTACTCCACATGGACAAAGTTGGAATATTTTCTCAAAATCTGGCAAATGTTTTTATTTGTGTTTTGCCATGTATTTGAATTTAGAGTAGAAGAGGGATTACAAGAGCATGTGCTAGTATCACTCAGGAGATTGATCAGATTGAACAAAATTTTTAACTTTGGTTTAATCATACAATTAACAATGTAGCCTCTCCTGTTCATGTCAATGTAGATGCATTGTTCCGTTTTTTAACCTTGTGCTCCATACTAAATGTCATATCTGATGCCCAGTGAGCTCCTAACCAATCTGTCCATTATCTTGGTATAGACATTAGCTGGTACTTCCTTACAGATCAGATTGTTTGACTTCGGATTTTAATTTTCTCCATCAACAAATTGAACAACTTCATCTAAACTGAAAGCAGTATTATGAATGATATACATACTTATGAATTAATAATGATTAATTAAAGAAGTCCAGGTGCCGGGCGCAGTGGCTCAAGCCTGTAATCCCAGCACTTTGGGAGGCCGAGGCGGGTGGATCACGAGGTCGAGAGATCGAGACCATCCTGGTCAACATGGTGAAACCCCGTCTCTACTAAAAATACAAAAAATTAGCTGGGCATGATGGCACATGCCTGTAATCCTAGCTACTCAGGAAGCTGAGGCAGGAGAATTGCCTGAACCCAGGAGGCGGAGGTTGCGGTGAGCCGAGATCGCGCCATTGCACTCCAGCCTAGGTAACAAGAGCGAAACTCCGTCTCAAAAAAAAAAAAAAAAAAGAAGTCCAGCCCAGTCAACTCACGGTGCTCTGAATCGATAGTTTCAGGATTTGAGCTTTAATTGATCAGACCTTTATTGCTCCCATCAGATACTATTCATACCATGTTTTTTCCTAAGCATCTTCCAGTGGAATATGCGAAATTCTTTATCAGAAGTTAGTTACATGCAAACTTCTATCACCTCTAAAGATAAAAGGCATTGGATTGCTTTTATTTTTGGAACTATTTAAGAATTGCCAGACTGCATGGATAACCCTGGAATCGCCCTCTTGCCTATTTTATATATTATTCTCTATGTTTTTCAGTCATAGCCTTATTGTCTCTCAAACTACCCCAAAACCCAGGAACCTGTAAAAACAAACACGTATTATTAATTGTGAGTCTGGGGGTCATCCAGGTGGTTCTTCTTGTCTGAGTCAGTTTAGCCGACCTCTGAGGTCAGCTGAGGACTTATCTGGGGATCGATGATCCAGGATGGCCTTACCCAGATGTCTGGGGTTGGGAAGAAGCATGGTGGTCAAGGGGGCCTCAGCTGGCATGATTATACTCCCGTAGGCTGGCCTGGGCTTTCTTACATGTGATCTTAGCATTCCAAAGAGCAACAAGTGATGGCAAGGCCCAGTGTGTACACGCATGTCAAGCTCCGCTGCTCTCAGGATTGCTATTGTCCCATTAGCCAAAGCAAATCACATGGTCAATTTTAAAGGCAGGGTGGGAGGCACTACGACAAAGTGTGGATACAGGGAAATGTGCAACATTGGGAGCCATTACTGCAATAATCTACCAGACTAAACTGGCATGAGTTTAGTCTGAAAAATCAGTCCAATATAAATGTGCATAATTTGTCACTAGATTTTGATTATTTTGTCCCTTTCACACATGGCTCCTAGGTAATAAAATTCTATATTACACACAGGAGGTTTTAAAAAAAAAAAAAGTAAATTTTCTCTGAATTTAGAAGACAATTTTCAAAATATTTAATGAAGGTGGGGGAAATGATGGTGAGAAAATTAAATCTAAACAAGTATGCTTTTCCACCAGCATGATAGTGGGTAAAGTGTAATAATTAAGGCAAGTTGCTTACTCTCAGTGAAACTCAGTTTCCGCACCTGGAAATTGAAGGACTTGGGCTAAGCCTCCTTCTGATTCTAATATTCTTAAACTATAAGCCATCCGAAATATGTAGAACCATACACAAAGTGATTCTGTGTTTCAGTAAACATATGGATATACTGCCTTATGAGAAAAATATTGACTTTGGCAAACTCAGGTCAATGAATTTTGATGTGTGCCTCAAAGAAATCAATATGTGTTTTTAATCTACACATAAAATAATGCTTTTAAGAGCCAAAGCCATTGATGGAATTAAGTCCATGTCTCATCCTAATAAATACCATTATATATGGTATAATATTATTATAGATCATCATTCATTATGGTTGAGTATTCTTTGATTTAGAACAAGGGTATTATACTCTTAATTCATCACCCAGTTAACTTTTCTTCTGAAGGTAAGATAAAAAAAACATTTCTCATTCTTTTCGGGCCATTAGTACATGAAATAGTATA